GGGCCGGGTCCTAGCAACGCTGCGGCTGCAGCACGCTGCAGCAACCAGCAGCAGCAGCAGCAGCAGCAGCAGCAGCAGCGGCGGCGAAGCAGGCACAGCAGCAGCAGCAGCAGCAGCAGCAGCAGCAGGGCAGCAGAAATGTTCTATAGGGGGACGTCTAGCTTTTGTAGCCCCCCATTTGCTTCTTTGCTGGAGCCATAGTGCTGACGCAGCAGCAGCAGCAGCAGCAGCAGCAGCAGCAGCGCCAGCAGCAGCAGCAGCAGCAGCAGCAGCAGCAGCAGCAGCAGCAGCAGCAACACTGCAGCTTGTTGATGTAAACAGCAGCTCATTGCTCTGGCAGTGGCAGCTGGGGGCCCCCCTTGTTGCTGCTGCATGCGACCGAAAGCTCTCCCACTGTTTGCTGCTGCTGCAAGACAGCAGCAGCAGCAGCAGCAGCAGCAGCAACAGCAGCAGCAGCAGCAGCAGAACGTTCTGGCTTAGGAGTTTTTGGTTTGCTGCTAATTCCCTAAAAATTACGAAGGCCCTGATTCCGGCTGTTGCTGCTGCAGCAGATCAGCTGCAGCAGCTGCAGCAGCAGCAGCAGCAGCAGCAGCAGCTACGTCAGCAGCAGCAGCTGCTGCTGGATGATGTCGACAGATACGGAAGTAGCAGCAGCAGCAGCAGCAGCAGCAGCAGCAACAGGGAGGCGTTGGTGATACCTTGCTGCAGCTGCAGCAGCAGCAGCAACTGCAGCACAAGTTGCTGCTGGTTTGCTGCTGCTGCTGCTGCATGCATTGCATACGCAGCTAGCGATGCTGCTGCAGCAGATTGGGGCCTCCCTCAGCAGCAGCAGCAGCAGCAGCAGCAGCAGGGGGTATTTCGAGGCGCAGCAGCAGCAGCAGCAGCAGCAGCAGAGAAGCAAAGTGCTGCTCTGTTGTCTTTCTTGCTGCCAGTGACTCGTCTGGTGCAGCTGCTGCAGCAGCATGCAGCAACCCACACAGCAGCAGCAGCAGCAGCAGCAGGAGCAGCAGGAGCAGCGGGAGAAGGAGGAGAAGCAGCAGCAGGATGTAACTACTGCAGCAGCAGCTGGCAGCAGCTGCTGCAGCAGTATAAACAAAATGTAAGAAAGTGGGAATTTGCTGTTTGCTGCAGCAGCAGCAGCAGACTACCTGCTGCTGTTTCTACCCGTCATTTCCCTCGGCCTGCTGCTGCTGCTGCTGCAGCACGCATCACTGCAGCAGCAACAGCAACAGCAGCAGCAACAGCAGCAGCAGCAGCAGCAGCAGCAGCAACAGCAGGAGAAGCAGCAACACCTCATTCCCTTTCTGCTGCTGCTCATCAACGTGTGCCTGCTCCAGCTTCTACTGCAGCAGCAACAGCAGCAACAGCAGCAGCAGCAGCAGCAGCAACAACAGTAGCAACACACAAACCCCACTATCTTTCCGCCAGCAGCAGCAGCAGCAGCAGCAGCAGCAGCAGCAGCAGCAGCAGCAGGTTTATAGAGGAGTTCGTTGCTCCCGCTGACGCCAGCAGGTTTTCTCGTGCTGCTCGTTGGTGTGTTGAGCTGCTGCTGCAGCAGCAGCAGCAGCAGCAACAGCAACAGCTGCAGCAACAACAGCAGCAACTGCAGCAGCAACAGCAGCAACAGCAGCAAGTGCTGCAGCTTGTTGCTGCTCTCTCCTTGCTGCTGCAAAGACACTGGCGGCTGCCTGCTGCTCCTCCTGCTTTTGCTGCGGAGCTCCATCACAGCAGCAGCAACTGCAGCAGCAGCAACT